TTCCTAGAGCACACAGACACACTCCCACCCCAGGGCCTTTGCACTTGCTCCTGACTCTGCATGCAAGACTCCACCCCCAGAAATGGGCACGGCCCCCCACTCCCTTATCCTTCATGGTGGGACCCCAGTTCATCTCCTCAGGAGGATTTCTCTCCCTCCCTAACCTAAACTGCCACATATAGAGTGTGTGCACCATATACTCCATATGCCCCTACACAATATATACTCCATATGCCCACACACAATACACATTCATTATGCCCACACACAGCATACATACCACATCCTCCATATGCCTACACAAAACACATTACATAGGCCCATACACAGTGCACACAGCATATATTCTACATGCCCCCACACAACACCTACTCATATACCCACATACAACCTACACACCATATGCACATACAGCACACACTCCATATGTGTACATACCACATCACACATGCATAACATATATAGTACACACACTCCATGTGTATACACAGCACATACTCCATGTGTTCACATGAACACACACAAACACACCACCTTACATTTTCTATTCCCTCTCCCTGGTTGATTCTTTTTTCTCCTCCTTGACTGTCACTGCCTAATGTACTATCCCCCTGCCTTTGAATTGACTGAGACTCATCGTGAACCTGCACAGGGGTTTTCAGACTATCACTCATTATGGGAGCAGACAGCTGCATCTTTCTCTTGAGGAGCAAATGCTGGGTTTGAAACACCAACCTTGTGTTAGCAACCCAATGCCTAACCCAAGCACCACCAAATCTGTTCCACCAATTCAGACTGTCCCGTGTCTGTCTTCCCCGGCAAGACAGAGCGTGAGGTCACGTTGTTCGTTGCCTGTCCTCCCCGGAGCCAGGACAGGGCCTGGCACAGAGTAAGTGATGAGTAGTGTTTTAAGGAGCCCTGGTGGCAAGTGATTATGCGTTGGGTTGCAATCCACAAGATCTGAAGTTTGAAACCCCGCCAGCCACTCCACAGGAGGAAGAAGAGGCTTTTGACTCCTGTAAACAGTTACCGGAAACTCACAGGGGGCAGTTCTGCCCTACCCTGCAGGGTCTCTAGCCGTCGGCTTGGCTCCGTGGCCGAGAGTAAGTATTTTTAAATGAGGGAACAAATGCATTGAGAACACTGAGACTAGCTCCTGCTCACACAGCCAGGGTGGGCTGCACGAGCCCCTCTCCCTCTGCCCCCCCCACCCTCAGGGAGGAAGCAAGTGGAGAGGCAGCCAGGCTGGACTGGAAGGGCCATCCAGAGGGACGTATGCCTGCGCTTCTCTCTCTCCTGTTTGACCCCAGTTTGACCAGAAGGTGCAGAAGAGCTTCCTGGGGCCTCAGAAGGACTACTGGGACTTCCTGTGCACCGGCCTAAAGCGACAGCAGGGTGACACCGAGCCAGCCCGTTTTGTCCGCTTGCAGGACAAGGTATGCAGGCAGAGGGGCTGGCTCGGGGAGCGAGAGGGGTCCTGCCAGCAAGCCCTTGGCACGGATGGTGGGCGGGACACAGGCCTGTACCAGTGCCCGCTCAGATACACCTCGTCACTAACCACAGCCCCCTCACCTGAGCCTCAGCCCTAAGCATCCCTGCACCCACCTCCTTGCCTCTCTAGCCTTCAAGTCCTGAAATGCCCTCTGCCATCTGCCACTAGTGTTCTCTCTCTCTCTCTCTCTCCTCTCTCAGCTGATTGAACATCTTCGGTCCTAATAAAACTCAGCTGACGACAAACTCAGTCACAGTGACCAGAGTAGAACGGGGCTCCACAGGGTTTTTAAGGGTGGAGTTTTCAGAAACAGATCGCCAGACCTTTCTTCCAAGTGCCTCTGCGAGGACCCAACCCTCCAACCTTCCAATTAGCTGCCAAGCGCGTTCAACCACTTGGACCGCCCAGGCTTAATGCTACCTCCTTCTTCCGCCTCCTGTGGGCTCTGCAGTTGAAGACTCCGCTGGGGAAAGGGCGCGCCTTCATCCGCTTCTGCCTAGCCCACGGACAGCTGGCCGACGCCCTGCAGCTCTGCCTCCTGAACTCAGAGTTCACCAGGTGGGGCCTGCTGCAAGTCCTCCCTTACATGTTCCCACTGAGACCCTAAGAGCCCATTTTCTCTTCATCTCAAAAGATCTCTCCTAACTCCCAGCTGGATAGTTTCGGATCAAAGACAAGGAAAGAAAGGGGGTGGGGGCAGTTCCAAAGAGAGAAGCCAAGGAAGAACAGGAAGAGGGGAGATGAGCCCAGGAGTCCTGAGAGCACTGTGGTTGTGATCTCCAAGGGCCACAGCCCCCTATGGAGGACACCCCTTTGTGCTGTGCAGTGCAGGGATCCTCTCGGGCTAAGAGTGGCCACAGCTCTCAGGTCAAAAGCCATGAGTGATGGTGACTGTTGCCCCAGGAAATGGTATGGCCCGCGGAGCCCTCTGGTGTGTCCTGAACTCCAGGAAGACATCCTGGACTCGCTCTATGCTCTTAATGGTGTGGCCTTCGACTTGGATCTGCAGCGGCCAGACCTGGATGACGCCTGGCCCATGTTCTCAGAGTGAGTGAGTGCCTGCCCCCCACAGCACCAGCCTCCCATACCAGCTCCAAATGCACAGCATCCAGCCCCACCTGTTTCTCCTCCCCTCTCACTCCCTAACCCCTTGGTTCTCCACTTTTCCCTGCTTTCTGTTTCCCAGTGGAAGCTTGTGCTAGCCCATGAAGCAGAGTATGCACTGACTGGAGGTTGGTTGAATGGTCAGGGTGGAGGGTTGTGGGGATGAATGGAATGGGATGTTGTTGTGGAAGGGGTAGATGAATGGAGGAAAGTGGTATGTATGAATAAATGAATGAATAGGAGAAAAAAGGGTGCAATGTTGTGGTGGAAGGGGTGGATGAATAGAGGAAAGCAGTACATATGAATGAATGAATGAATGAATGAATGAATGAATGAATAGAGGGTACAATGTGGTGGAAGGGGTGGATGAATGGCACAGTGGGATGGATGAGTGGTGGGAGGGTGGGATATTAAGGTGGAATGGATGGGTGAATGATAGTGAAATGGATGGACAAATGAAAGGTAGGATGTTGGCATGGAATGGGTGGATAAGTGGAGAATAGTGAGGTGTAAGGATGGGATATTAGAGTGAAATATCGATGGAGGGTAGTGAAATGTATACATGAGTGAAGGGTGGGATAATGGGGTGGAGTGGATAAATGAATAAGGGAGTAGGATGTATGAATGGATAGAGGGTGGGATATTGGAGATGAATGGATGGATGGGTGGGTGGATGGATGGATGGGTGGATGGATGGATGGATGGATGGATGGATGGATGGATAGAGGGTGGGAGGTTGGAGTGGAGTGGGTGGATGGATGCATGGGTGGGTGGATGGATGGACGGGTGGATGGATGGAAAGTAGATGAATAGATGGATGGTGGATGATGAGAGGGATTCATGAGGGTGGGAAGGTGTAGAATGAACATGTGATGTGCAGATGGCTATCCTACACCTGAAGACCAAGGTCACTGTTAGAGGTAGGCCTCAGGGGTTCCCCTGACCCTTGTACTTTCAGGTCACATTGTTCCACCTCCAGGAAAACCCAGGCAAGAAGGCCCAGAAGGACCAAAGCTTCCCCGAAGAAGGTGCCTTTGCCCTACTGCACGCTAAGCTGCCTCTTCTCCATTCTTGTTGGGGACCCCAGGTTGATCAGTAACCAGCCCTACCCACTTGGACAGAGAGAGGCCAACATGTGGGCCTGGGGGCTGGGAAGCCACCTGGGAGGAGTGGCCTAATGCTGGAGGGATGATCAGGAGAGAAAGAGGCACTAGAGGAGCCAAGGGGTCCAGGTGAGCAGGAGGGCCAACGGAGGGTGCTTGCAGGAAATGGACAAGGGAACCGCCCCATGTGGAGTCCCCTACATTTGACAGTTTATCACCGTCTCATATCAGCTTAGGGAACAATTAAGGGCCAGACTGCCAGCTTAAATCTCAGCTCAACCCCTAACGAGGCACGTTCTTTGGACAAAGTACTTGTCCTGTCTTGTAGGGTGATTGTGAGGATGCATTGAGACGTGGCCTGCGTGCCACAGAGCAAGACTCCTGGTCACTTGCCTATCCTTAATGCCCCCCGCCACCCCGGAAGAGGTACTGTGCCCCTCCCGCTTCAGACGCAGACACTGATCTTACTCTGCTTCTGGCCTCCCGGGGGGGCCAGGTCTGTGCAGGGAGGCCGATGCCTATTGGCTCCCAGCCAGATCAGGGCTGGATCCTAGCAAAGCGGGGAGCACGGGAGGACAGGGACAACTTGAAAGAGGTGACTCTTAGCTGAGTCTCCATACAGTGATATTTTCACCACAATCCTCTCCCCCACCCCCATCCCAGTGGACATTGTTAACTCCGGCTCTGCAAACCGGAAGTCAAGTTCAGGCGTGGGGAACAGTGAAGGGGGGTGGGAAGACCTGGCCGGAAGCCAGAGGTGATGTCTCCCACAGCAGGAATGGACTGGAGGTTAGAGTGGAGGGCGGGCTCTGGGAAGCTCCACTGCGCCCTCTTCAGATCATAGTGGGCAGCACCTGGGGATCCAATGAAGGCAGGCGGGGCCTCTGACCTGGACCCGCAGAATCCAGCTTGCCAGGGCAGTGCCGGGGCATCCATGTAATTGGCTGGCCTGTTGAATCACAGCTGTGGCCTCTCCCCTGTATCAGGTTGCTGAATTGGTGTTCAGCGGGGTGACAGGTCTGGGGTGTCTCTGCAGGTCTCAGCGGCACGTGGGGTCCCCAAAGGAGTCCGTGAAAAGGAATCACACCCAGGACCAACCGGCTATCTGGGAGAGGCGCCCAGGGAAGGCCACTTGGCAGGACTCCCAGGATCTGAACCACATGGGCATCTTTCCCCCACTTTGGAAAATAAGAGAGATGGTCTCCAGAGCCCCGGAGCCCCCCAGAGCGTGTGGGAACCTGAGGAGGGGGATTTTCAGCAGGACCAAAGTGAGGGAAGCCCAAGGCCTGGGGTCGCCCTGCCGAACTCCACACCCAGCACCCAGGGACAGGGGGAGGGGCCCAAGGGGACTCTACAGGAGGTGATGGAGCCCGAGGCTGAGGGCGGAGGGGTCCTTATGAAAGCAGGAGGTCAGAGAGCCATAGAGGTAACTCATCAGGAGAGAGCAGAGTCTGAGCCTGTCCAGTGGCTGCTGGCCCCCAGCCCCAGACAGATGATGGAGGAAGCCATGTGGGGGAGCAAGCAGGAGTCAGAGCCCTGGGTCCTTCGGGGTCCAGGAAAGGGGGAAGACGCCACTACAGAGAAGCCCCAAGAGCAAACAGGAGTGAACAGCGTGGCCCGGGGAGAGGAGCTAGCCGAGGTGCCCCTGCCGGATATGGTCAAGGTGAGAGCCATTGGCCGGAGACCTGTCTACTCCCCCTGTCTTCCATCTGGTCCACAGTCAGGGGTCTCCATTATCAGCCTGGGGACTGCTGCAGCCCACACCTCTGTTTTCATTGTCATGCCCAAGAGCATTATTATTTGAAGGTTTTTTTTGAAAGCCATGCCTTTCTGAGTTCACCATAGTCCCCACCTCTTCCTCTTGCCTCACACCAGGCCCATTCTTTCTTTTTTTTAATCATTTTATTGGGGGCTCATACTACTCTTATCACAATCCATCCATCCATCCATTGTGTCAAGCACATTTGTACATTTGTTGCCATCATCATTCTCAAAACATCTGCTTTCTACTTGAGCCCTTGGTATTAGCAGCTCATTCCCCGCCCCCCAGTGTCCCCTCCCTCATGAACCCTTGATAATTTATAAATTATTATTATTTTGTCATAGCTTACACTGTCCGACATCTCCCTTCACCCACTTTTCTGTTGTTCATCCCCCAGGAGGAGGTTCCCCCTTTCCACCCCACCCTCCGTCCACCCTCCCAGTATTGCCACTCTCACCACTGGTCCTGAAGGGATCATCTGCCCTGGATTCCCTGTGTTTCCAGTTCCTATCTGTACCAGTGTACATCCTCTGGTCTAGCCAGATTTATAAGGTGTAATTGGGATCATGATAGTGGGGGTGGGGAGGAAGCATTTAGGAACTAGAGGAAAGTTGTATGTTTCATCTTTGCTACACTGCACCTTGACTGGCTCATCTCCTCCTCACGACCCACACCAGGCCCATTCTATCCGTTGATCTTACCTGCCCTTGTCGGTATTTGAGGAGCCCTGGTGGGCGTGGTTACACGTTGTACTGCGATGCGCAAGGTCAGCTGTTTGGGAGAAAGATGAGGCTTTCTACTCCTGTAAACAGCTACAGTCTTGGAAACACTCGAGAGGGGGAGGGGCGCAGTTCTCCCCCATCCTAGAGGGTCCTGATGGCAGTAAGCATGAGTGTCAGCATTTGAGTTTGAGACCCTTCCGAATCACTGGGGCCATCACGTGATCTCAAGTCCCCCTGGTGGGCGGGCTTCTTCCCAATCCCCGCCTCCTGCGGATGCCTGCCTCCCCGACTGCTCTTGTGGTAGTTGCTTCTCCTGGGAGTCCCTCAGGTCGGGTATCAAGCCTTCTGTCCCGCTCCTCCCGGGGCAGACTTCTCCCAGGGCCTTGAGGTTTGTCACAGAAGGAAGAGATGGCGCCCTGGACTCTTCCAGGGGCAGGGCTTCGACACAGCCAGGCATCCGAGCCCTCCAGCCAAGGGCTGGGCTCATGGGAATGGAGATTCTTCCAGTGGGTCCCTGGGCTTGACTCTCTGCCCACTCTGTTCGTTTCCTCTCCCCTCCACACTTTTCTTCCCGCCGCCAGAGCCTCAGACATCAACTGTGGAAGGCCACGGAGCAGGCCCAGCACCAGGGTCAGCTGCTGAGGGAGCAGGAGATAGCACTGACGGGCCTGCAGGAGCAGCTCCGCAGGTAACCTTGACAACTGCCAGCCGGAATGGGCGGGAGAGCCAGGAGATGCGAGTACAGGAGGCACGTCCTTGTTCCTGGCCTATAGCATCCGGTCTCAGGGCACTGTTTGAGCACCTCCCGTGTGCCAGGTCCTTGGCTGGGCACAACTTTGGACCTTGAAGGATGGAGGGCCCTGCTCCTGCTCTGAAGATGTTCCCATGCTCCTCTCCTCGTGGCCAGCCCCTCCCCGCACTGGCCTCCCCCCAGGAGCTCTCAGGAGAGGTCCTGCCCCCTGCCTCTTCCCACCCTCAATCTTGCCTCCTTCTGACCTCTCCTCTCCCTTTTCAGTCTTAGGACCGCTAAAGGGGCTTCCTCATAAGAAGGAACCTTCTATATATAACAGCGGTTCTCAACCTGTGGGTTGCGACCCCTTTGGGGGTCGAATGACCCTTTCACAGGGGTCACACAGCAAAATGAGGGTGATGAAGTAGCAACGAAAATAATTTTATGGGTGGGGGGGAGGGGGGCACCACCACATGAGGAACTGTATTCAAGGGGCAACGGGTATTCAAGGAAGGTTGGGAACCACTGTTCTGTAAGTAGCCCCACTTGTCAGCCAGTTGGAGAAGGAACTGAGATTCAGATCCTAGGTGTTGACTCCGGACCCAGTTGCGTGCACACCACCCCTCCGCTAAGATTTTGAGTGCTTACATTTCCATCAACGAGCCCTGGTTGTGCAGTGGGAGCTTGGCTGTTAACCGAAAGATGGCTCCACGGGAAAAAAGAAGTGACCGTGGGTTTCCGTCAAGATTCGCAGCCTTGGAAACCCTCTGGGCTGTTCAACTGTGTCCCGGGGGTCATTCTGAGTTGGAACTGACTGGACAGCAGTGGGTTGGGTTTGTGTTTCAGTCTCTCTGCTCCTCCTCTTCCTCAGAATCAGCATCTTCATCTCGACGTCATCACACACATCTCAGGAATCATTGTCTTTGTCTGCCCTCCATATCCCGGCCTCTCGGTTTCTCTTTCATACTCTCTCTCTTTTTTTTTTTTTTGATCCTCCTGCCCTGCAAAGATCTTCCTTCGTCTGATTCCACCTCTGTGCTCAAGCTGCCCTCCTGCCTCTGCCTCCGCCTCCCTCCCACGGGGCTGCCCCAAGGTCTGGGAGGACCAGTCTGACCGCCTAGCAGAGCCAGGGTAGCTGATTCAGGCTGAATCGCAGGTCGCTCTATTGACTGTCTGCTTAAAGCTTGAGAGTCCTAGGAATGCAGAAAACCTCACCGCCATGGAGTCGATGCCGACTCAGCGACCCTACAGGACAGGGTAGATCTGTCTCCCCAAGTGTGCGAGACTGTCACTGTTGACAGGAGTAGAAAGCCCCGACTTTCTCCCTCAGAGCGGCTGGTGGTTTCGAACTGCGGACCTTTCAGATCACAGCCCAAGGCCTAACCACTACACCACCAGGGCTCTTCGCAACCCCAAAAGGCTCAGACGTGTGGGGTGAGTCGGTCAGCAAACACTCAGACTCCAAGGACACTCAAGGCCCATTAGGGTGGGGTTCGGTGAGTGTCTGCCCTGTGGCCAGAAACACACTCAGGAACAAAGCCCTGTCCTCATGGAGCTTGGGATAAATACAATGAGTAAAATGCACACAGTCGTAGATTGTAAGCTATCCTAAGAGGTCAAAATCAAGCAGAGAAAGGGACCGGGGTCGGGAGGTGATATTTCAAAGTGGCCTGGCCAAGGAAGGGTTCCCTGAAAAGGTGACATTTGAGTTAAGGCCCGGAGGCAGCGAGGAGCAGGCCATTTAGATTTATGCTAGAGGCATGCCCGGTGTGTGACAGAGATAAGCTTCTACAACGTTGGGCTCTGTGATAGGAGAGGGGACAGCAGGACATAGGTCCTGAGGTGAGCGCTACCTGAGAGGTTTCAGGAACGTGGGGGAGGACTGCGGGGACAGGGTAGGGGGCAGGACCAGGTTAGGGTGAGTCTGGTAGGTCATCCAGAAGATCTGGGCTTTGACTTAAGCGAGGTGACAGCCATGGAGGGTTCTGGGTGGAGGAGGGGCCTGGTCTGACTTAGAGTTGTAACAATGCAGTGGTTTTTAGTGTGTTCACAGAGCTGTGCACCCACAATCACAGTCCATGTTGAATCATTATCACCACCCCATTTATGGTCACTCCCCACTAACCACAGAGCTCTACCCATGGCCTGCATGTCCAGGCTCCACTCACAGTGGCCCCAGAGGACTTCTGAGACTAGACATCTTTACAGGGGCAGTCAGCCTCATCTTTCTCCTGTGGGACAACTAGGGAGTTAGAACCACTGACCTGGTGCGTAACAGCCTAATGCCTCACCTGCACCAGCACATCTCTAAGCAAACATTAGTCTACTCTGTCTCTGTGGACTTGCCTTGTCTGGTGCACCTTGTGTGGAAAGCTCACTGCTTTGTGGAGCTCGACTGTCAGGAAGCAGGAGTGGAGTTGGGAGACCAGTGGGTGAGTGAGTGAGTGTGTGTGTCACTGCCCTTGTGTAATGTGTAAGGGGGTGGAAGCTGAGGGACAACAGTTCCTCATGCCAGATTGGCAGGTGGTAATGGTGGGGGTGAGGTGGGGGAGGGGCTCACAGTTACACAGCTAGATCTTGAGATACATTTTGAGAGTAGGAGTCCCTGAGGCATTTGGGTGGGAGTCTGAGAGAAAGGCAGAGGTCATAAAGGGCTCCAAGGGTCTTATCAAACCTTCTGGAAAGACTGAGTCACCACGGACTCCCACCACCACCATCAACCTAGTGGGACCTCATCTTAATTGATTGCATTTGCAAAGACCCCATTTTCCAAGTCAAGTCTCATTCACAGTTTCTATGACATGAAGTTGGGGGACACACTCTTCAACCCAGTACAGGTGCCCGGAGAGACTCCAATCCTGACTCCACGATTGCAGGGCCCTGGGAGAGCAGCCTCCCCTCGCTGGGGCTCAGGTTCCTGAACTGCCAAAGGTGAAGCTTCCTCCTTTCAGCTTGTGCTCTGTGAGGCCTGCTTTCCAAGTGGGTGGGCTTCCTGTGCCCCTGGGTGAGAGGGAGAGGGGCCAACAGAAAAGGGGACTGGGTCATCACTAGCTCTCTGCCTCTGCGTGGCCCAGGTGTACTCCTTGTGCTCCTGCCAACGGCTCTAAGGACCCACCCTGCTCCTACCTGTTGCTCCCTGGGCACGAGTGCCCCAAATCACTGGTGGTTAGAGCCCATGTGCATGAAAGTACTAGGAGGCTGAAGCTGGTTAGAACTGGGCAGACCTGCATTCAGATTTCGGGTCCTCCCAGTCATCACGCTGTGTGATCTTGGGTAAATGCCATGCCCTCTCTGAGGCTCTGTTCTCTGCTCTGTAAAATGAGGATCTATTACCTACCTTACAATCTGTGAGCGTTCCCTGAAACAAAGCTGAAGAGCGCAAAGTTCAGCACCCTGCACACAGTAGCTGCTCAATGAACAAGAATGCTTTCCGTGTTTCCTCCTGCAGTCATCCTCCACTGCCTAAAAGACTTCTGCAGTTTACACTTACAGTGAGCTGAAAGTCCACTCCTGCTGGGGCACATCTGGCCCCAGCTCACCTCCTGCCTACCATGCAGGGCACCCTTTCAGCCCCTCTGCCAAGCCAAGTGCCTTCTGACTGGCAGCATTTGCGTGGGTCCTTCGCCCACTCCACAGCTTCCCATCCTGCAGGTCCACCTGAATGTTACCTGCTCTGAGAGGGCTCCTCTGCACTCATGCTCACTTCTTGCTCGGCTCCCCTTCGACGTCTGCCCTAAGAGCTTCACTGGTTTATTGGCCAGTTGCTCATTTGACCTGACTGTAAATTCCACCAGGACAGACACTCTGTCTCAGGCACCGCTCTGTTCCTGGCACTTACACCAGCAGTTGGCACCCAACCCACACTCACTGCCTTGAGTTGATTCCAACTCCTGGCTACAGGATAGCACAAGGTAGAAGTACCTCACAGAGTTTGAGACTAGACTTCTTTACGGCAGTGGACAGTCTCTTTCTCCTGAGGAGCAGCTAGTGGATTTGAACAGACAATCTTGCTCTCAGTAGCCCAATGCTAGCCCACGTACACCACCAGGGCTCCTTAAATGGCACCCTGTAGATATTGAATATAGTCACAACAATGGACTCAAACATATCAATGATCTTGAAGATTCTACAGGACCAGGCAATGCTTTCTCCGGTTATACTTAAGGTCACCATGACTTGGAGTCAACTCAAAGGCAACCAACAACGACTACAAAAAAGCATATATCCCAAAGCTGTTGCTGTTGATTCCAGTTCAACTCATGACGACTCTGTGTGTCACAGAACAGAACGGAATTCCCTGGGGTTTCCTGGGAATTGCTTTCTTTATGGAAGCAGACTCCAGGCTTTCTTTCTATGGTGCTTTTTTGGGGGTTCAGGCCTCCAACTTTTCAGTGAGTAGTCGAAGTGCAACCTTTGGAGCCACCCAGGCGCCTTGAAGTAATAGCTCTTCAATAAGTGTTCCCTCCCACACCCCACAGTAATTGCATTCACGGCTTCGACAGGGAGCCCAGAACCACCTAGGATCCAATCCTCTTGCACAAAATCTAAGTGGAAAGTCAGCTGGCTTAGGAAAATTCCACTTAGGAAAAGTTGACTGCTGAAAAATGGGGAAGCTGAAGATTGGAATGTTTCTTAAAATTCAAACCACAGCCCTGCATGCCATGCCTGAGCAATAGTGAGTCACTTTTCTGGAACCTCACTGGCCGTCTGCTGGTGGCTTGCTGTCTTAACCCACCCAGCTTCCTTCCCTGCGGCAGGCACAATGTTTTCTCAAGTGGTAATTCCAGTTGCTATCAAGCTTCTTCCCCACAAGCACCTCAAGCACAAGGTGCACACACACACAGACACACATCCTGAGGGTGTGGGTGGACACCGTCACAAACCCCCTCCTCTCTGTGCAGTGCAATAAGATGCTGGGAATTGAGTGAAGGTTAGAGGGCAGATCAGCTTTCTATTCAACTGTATCCATTTGGTTTCATCCCCACACCGAACTAGCCCTTCTCCCACTCCTCTGTGTTTCTGGTTCCTTTCCACCTTCCTTCCTAGCCTGTTCGAACTTTGTCCAGGGCTCAATGCTGCGCTTTTGGTCACAGATGGGTGATTATTCGAAGGCAGTGGTTCTCAACCTTCCTAAGGTGGCGGCCCTTTCATACAGTTCCTCATGTGGTGGTGGCCCCCAACCCTAAAATGATTTTCATTGCTACTTCATCACTGTCATTTCACCACTGTTATGAATTAGGTGACCCCTGTGAAAGGGTTGTTCGACCCCCGAAAGGGTCGCAACCCCCAGGTTGAGAACCGATGTTCTGAGGTGTACATCTCTCCCTAGTGTTACGGTTCCCCTTATAGGCTGAGAATTGAATGATGGGCGAGAACTCCTTTGCAGACTTCGAGGGTGAGGAAGGCTCATAGATAGGGGATTCAACCAGACTCTCCCTGACAAGTAAGCCTGGTATTTTTTCATGATTTTGAATTTGGGTTCACATTTGCCTCCCATTCTAGCCAGAACTTTCTACTGGGACCCCTTGGTGATTGGTGGTGATAGTCTGGCACATCTACTTCCTACCTCAGGGCGGTAGAGGCTGGTGGTCACCCGGTCCACTGACCCACTGGACTCCTTGATCCCATGCATTTTCCCTTTTCATCTCTCGCCTTTCCTCTGGATGGGGGAGACCAATCATTGTACCTGAGAGATGGCCACATGCAATCAGCATCCTGTTAACTAATATTTTAAAGAACATCTCACCTTCGATCCTACCTCCGCACTAAACCACAGTTGTTTTCCACTGGACACATCCCCCCTGCCTGGGTTCCCAGGTATCTACCTTTCCTCCACAGAGCGCCTATGATGGTGAACATCCTTTCAAGAAAGTCCTCATTGAAATATAGGTGTGGGCTCATTTCCTATATCCTCCAAAGCAGAGCCAGGGAACCTTTTTTTTTTCTTCTTTTTTTACTGCCAAAGGTCCTTTGGATATTTAGAACACCATTCACAGGCCGAAGAAAATTAGCGACTTAAAAATTAACGCTATACTTGGTCAAACAATTAACTCATCCCTAACATGACTGGTGGCTGGCGCTGCTCCTCAGACCTTAGATCCTGAGGGACAGGTGTTTGCCACACCTGCTCCAAAGAATAGGCTCCCAAACATATTTGACCTACCACCCCCTTTTCCAAAAAGAAAAAAGACTCAGCGTCCCCTGGCAATCAAACACATAGCCCATCACCCAGGATAAAGGGTAGGTATCTACTTTGCAGCCCCCTTGGATCAGCCCCCAGCACCTTCCCCCTGACCCCCACCCCAAGGGATGGCATTGCCCACTTTAGGAAACACTAAGGGAACAGACCAGATAAGGCTGAGCCCAGATATCATTTCTCTGAACAGGTGGTGAGGACTCAATCCTTGGGGTGTCAGGTCACACGCAATGCTCCGTTTGGGTGGTGTGTGTGTGTGTGTGTGTGTGTGTGTGTGTGTGTCCTCGCTGGAGGGCCGCCACAAGCCCCTCCCAGGGAGTTCCCTGTCCGGCTTAGGCTGCGCCTGGCTCCATCACGGAGGCAGGCCCAGACCTCTCTCCCCTCAACGCCCAGTCTGCCTTCTGTTCTCAGGTGTCAGGAAGAGAAGGCCCAACTGCAAGCAGCGCACGAGCAGACGCGACAGGAGGCTGAGAGGAAGGACAGCACGTGCCAGCAGGAGCTCCGAGAGCAGCGGGATGTGATCCGGGCCCTGAAGAGGCGGGTGCTGGAGCTGACCCGGTAAGGGGAAGAGAGGGGGTGGTATGGGATCTGGAGACTGGGGGGACATGGGTGTTTTACGCCACTAACAGTGATCAGAGAGGCCCTGGTGATGTGATGGTGGCATGTTGCGCTGGGACCCACAGGTCAGCATCTCAAAACCACCAGCGGCTCTAAGGGAGAAAGAGGAGGCTTTCTACTCCCGTAAAGAGTTTCCGTCTCAGAAACCCACAGGGGCAGTTCTACCCTGTCCTATCGGGTCGACAAGAGTCAGGATCAGCTCGATGGCAGTGAGAGCAATGGCTCAAGGGTCCCTGGTGGTACAACAGTTAAGCACTCAGCACTCACCCAAATGACAGTAGCACAAATCCACCCAGCAGCTCCCCCTGAGAAAAGACCTGGCTCTCCGCGTCCATAAAAAGTATAGCCTAGAAAACCCTCCGAGCAGTTCTCTTCTGTCCCAAAGACTCACTGTGAGTTGGAATGGACTCAGAGGCACACAGAGACAATTAGGAAGCAGTCTTCACACATGATCATTGGTTTCCTTCTTTGATCCTCATTCCAAAGATGTCGTACCCAGGGTGAGACACGCTGACCTGGTCAGCAAGGACCCACAGCACCTGCATTGCCTTGGGTCCTCTAACGTATACTTCTCCACTCCCCACCCACATGTACACACCTAGTTGCTAAGATTAGAAGGGACAGCAACCTGGGAAATGGTGACATCAGGTTCCTAAATGCCAGAACATACCGGTCTTTTCTTTGGGATGTCTATTCTTCCTTGGAGAAGAGCTTCTGATGATTTGTTTGGAAGATAGAGCCCAGGCTGCTGGCTCTTCTGCAGGCGGGAAGGCAATCAGGAGGCCGGAGT